CCCTTCAGCTTCCCACCATAACAGACAAAGAGCTGGTCTGAGGTCCTGAAACACTGCGTCCTGTCTACGTAAGCACGGAGTGCGCGTACTGGACAGAGCAGTGCCAAGGCTGGGTCTGCCTCCTCCCGGGGCAGCGCTTGCAGGTTCACCACCTGGTCCCGGAAGGGAGTGGTGGGAACCTTGGGCACATATCCAGGCCGGGGTCTCAGGATCACGTGAGAGTGACCGGGCCCGAACTCCAGGCACGCTTCGTCAACGGAGAATGCGTGCAGGTCCCCTACCCTCTTGATGGAGGCCAACGCAACCAGGAGCGCTGTCTTCGTTGACAGGATCTTAAGCTCAGCTGATTGCAGAGGCTCAAAGGGAGCCCTCTGCAGGGCATTTAAGACCACTGAGAGGTCCCAAGAGGGAACGAGAGGAGGGCGAGGAGGATTCAGTCTCCTCGCTCCTCTCAGGAACCTGATGATCAGGTCGTGTTTTCCAAGAGACTTACCTTCAACTGCTTCGTGATATGCGGCGATAGCGGCCACATACACCTTCAGGGTGGAGGGAGACAGCCTTCGCTCCAACCCATCTTGCAGGAAGGAAAGCACAACACTGATCGAGCATCTCCTGGGGTCTTCTCGGCGAGAAGAGCACCAGTTAACGAAGAGGTTCTACTTCAACGCATAGACATGTCTCGTGGACGATGCTCTAGCGGAAGTGATGGTAGCCGCCACCGCTGGTGGCAGGGTACTCAAACCTGCCTCGTCCCGTCCAGGAGCCACACGTGGAGTCTCCAAAGATCGGGACGAGGGTGCCATAGGGTGCCCCGTCTCTGAGAAAGGAGGTCCTTCCTCAGAGGAATTGGCCAAGGAGGTGCTGTCGCGAGGAGTATCAGTTCGGAGAACCAGGTCTTGGTGGGCCAGAATGGGGCGACCAAAATGACCTGCTCCTCGTCCTCCTTGATCTTGCACAGAGTCCGTGCGAGAAGGCTCACTGGGGGAACGCATACTTGCGTAGGCCCTGCGGCCAGCTGTGCGCCAGTGCATCCGTGCCGCGCAATGGGATGAGTCGTGGGAGGCAACAGATCTATCTGTGCTTCCCCGAACTGGTCCCATATCAGCTGGACCAACTGGGGATGGAGTCACCATTCGCCAGAGGTTGGCCGGAGCCGTGACGGCTCGTCGGCTGCAAGGTTCCGCTCTCCTGGAATGTAATTAGCACGAAGGGACCTCAGGTGCTTCTGACTCCATAAGAGGAGGTGGCGTGCGAGTTGCGACATACGGCGAGAGCGTAGACCAGCCTGACGGTTGATGTGCGCTACTGTCGCAGTATTGTCCGAACGGACAAGTACGTGTTAACCCAGGAGCAGCGCGTGGAAGCGGTGCAGGGCAAGGCGTACTGCCAGCAACTCGAGGCAATTGACATGCATGAGGCGCTGGGGTCCTGTCCAGGAGCCCGCGGCTGCATGTCCATTGCACATGGCGCCCCAGCCCGTGGCAGAGGCATCTGTGGAGACGACAACATGCCTGGAAACTGGTTCTAGGGGAACTCCGGCCCGTAGAAAGCTGAGGTTCCGCCACGGGGTGAAGGTCTGACGGCAGGTCGGAGTTATTGGAACTCTGAGCGTACCGCGATGCCATGCCCACCTCGGGACCCGATCGCGAAGCCACAGCTGAAGCGGTCTCATATGAAGCAATCCGAGTGGCGTTGCCGCGGCTGCGGATGCCATATGCCCCAGGAGCCTCTGAAAAAGTTTCAGTGGGACCGCACTCTTGCCCTCGAACTGTCGAAGACAAGTCAGCAGTGAGTGTGCGCGCTCGCTCGTAAGCTGCGCGGACATGGCGACCGAGTCTATCTCCATACCGAGAAAAGAGATCCTCTGCACGGGGCAAAGTTTGCTCTTCTCCCAGTTGACCCGAAGGCCCAGACGGGCTAGGTGCCGGAGCACAAGGTCTCTGTGTTCGCAAACCTGATCTCGAGAGTGAGCTAATATTAGCCAGTCGTCGAGATAATTCAGGAAGCGAACCCCGTGTTCGCGTAGGGGAACAAGGGCTGCCTCGACGACCTTCGTAAAGACGGGAGGAGACAGAGCCAACCCGAATGGGAGAACCGCGTACTGGTATGCCTGCCCCTCGAAAGCAAACCGAAGAAACGGTCTGTGTCGAGGTAAAATGGAGACATGAAAGTAGGCGTCCTTCAGGTCTATCGCTGCAAACCAATCCTGTGGCCGCACGCATTCGAAAATGCGTTTGGCCGTGAGCATCTTGAACGGCAGCCTGTGAAGGGAGCGGCTCAGACGTGCAGATCCAGGATTGGCCGTAACCCACCGGTCTTCTTGGGGACAATGAAGTACGGGCTGTAAAACCCTGACCTCATTTCGGCTGGAGGGACAGTCTCGATTGCACCCTTCGCCAGCAGGGTGGCAACCTCCGCTCTCATGATAGGGGCATTGTCACAGACCATAGTAAACAGACTCCCCTGACGCGGGGAGGAGACCGTGCGAATTGGATCGCATAGCCGAGCCTGATAGTTCGGGCGACCCAGCGGGACAGGTTGGGAAGCTCTAACCAAGCTCCCAAGAACTGAACCAGCGGAATCATCCGAACCACAGACGTCCCCCCGGAGGGGCAGCGAAGCGGAGTGACCGGCCCAGGCGTGGGTGGCATAGTGGCCCGGTGCGGGGGCACGGTCATACTCCGCGTCCTGACAGAGGAGACCAGGGAAGGACCAGCGTTCCACGGGGGTCTGCTCTGCCAGGGGTCTGGCGACAGAGGGGGACGAGAGTGGTGTGGTCCGGAGACGGCACACACTGTCATCCGCGCCCTCAGAGACAGAGGGGGACGAGAGCGGCGAGGCCCGGGAGCGTCGCGCACTGTCGTCCGGCCCTCTGAGGGCTCAGAGATGGGATGCAGCTCTTTGGTTTAGAAAAGATTCTCCCCCAGCCCTCCACCGGGGGAAGGAGTGGCCCTGCAACCACTCCCTGAAGAACTGCAACCCACATCTGAGCTGCCCGTAACGGGAGCGCCGCAAGCCTGGCGTTAGCGGGGCTGCGGGGCTGGTACGGGCAGGGGCGCCTTCCTGCGACCACCTCCACGGCGCGGCCCGGTGCTGCTGGGGGCCGGGCGGGAGGGGGCGGAAGTCGCAGGAGGGCGCATTCGGCAGCAAGCGGACTGAGGCGTCTGAGCCGGCGGCTGGAGGCAGCAGAGCCACGGGGTCAGACAAATAGCCACAGTCCACTTCTGGGCGGCCGAGAACTGTTGGGCAGAGTCCTCGACCGCGCCGCCGAAGAGGCCAGCCTGGGATATGGGGGAGTTAAGGAAACGTATTCACTAAGCCTCGCACACATCAACCAGGTTAGCCAGAGATGTCTGACCACCTATGTGGACATCACCTGACTCAGGGAGCGTGCGGTCACCTACGTCGCTCGTAGAGCAAGGTCGGTGACGGCAGGCAGCTCAAGGATGAGCCCTGAATCAGCCCTACCCTCGTGCATGTCATTGAACACCCAGAAGGATGGCAATAACACGCAGTGAGGTGGCAGCCTGCCCCGCAGCTCTATAGGTCCCCGTCACCGGAGTAGACAAGAACCTACAGGCATTGGAGGGGTGCTTAGGGTCGCCACGCCAGGTGGAGGCACTGTGGGGACACATAAGTGTTGCCACAGAACACTCCACAGGGGGAACCCCAGTGTACCCTAGGCCGCGGCCTCTACAAGGGCAGAGAAGGCGGAAGAGGCCACTGAGCAGTCGCGAAAAGTCAAAAGAGACTTCCACGATCTCATGATCTCTTCATGCACGTCCGGGTAGAAAGGATTTGGGTTCGCCACCCCCAAAAACCAATCATCAGCCTTAAGTGCTCGGGACATGGCAGAAGGTTCCACACAAGCCCGATACTCGCGGCAGCCCGGGAAGCATAGCTGTGCACTCTGGATCAAACTCGTTATGCTAGCACATCCGAGGACGGCAGCACAGACGAGCCATCATCTCTAGAGGACTCCAGCTCACCTTGTGATGCGGTGATATACATGATTTCATCAGCCGGGGGACCGAATGAGACCGCGGGCCCGCGGGCGGGCCGGCGAACTCACCCGGGACCACGCGGGTTGCAATGTGAAAGACGGGGTGTGGACCGAGGAATTTTCGTCGGCTTAGTTCCAAACCTGCCGTCTTAGGTCACCCTGGCCACCAGCCGAAGTATTATCTCATGTGGAGAAAAATAGATCGGGGTGTGGATGATGGGACTCTCACTCTAAAGAGCTCATCGAGTCTCGACCGTTACATTGCGATGGTCACGTTCCCAGTGAAAGAACGTGACACACCCACGAGCGCTGTCTGAGCGCGCCCAAACACTCAAACAGCGCTCGCGCCCATCAGCTGAATCTATCAGAATACCACACTCAAAAATACACGGGCAGATCGTCTTTAGAAAGACGCGTCTTTAAAAAGACGTGCCGCGTGCAGCTCTTTAGTGAGAGGAAAAAACTCCGCGGATGTTGAAGCGACCAGGTAGAACACACAGACTGGCAGACCACTGCTCAGATCGCAGGCAATGTGAAACTCGCTGGATACCGCCGTCACACCAACACCGGAGAGCTCGCTCGTCTCGAAGAGATGAAGTCACTGAAGAAACTCAGGATTTGACTTGTGGAGTGAAGAGATGCTCTTGGCTCCGAAGCGAAAACATGATCTGCTGTTGCAGGTGTCTCTCCTTAAATACTCACGCGGTGAGGCGGAGATACATTATGCAAATTCCGCAGACCCATGGCATTTCTTGCCATTGGCTCGTTTTTTAATACTCGAAGATGATAGGCTTTCTGGCGAAACCCCCATTCTCCGTCATCCGACGTAACTCGGAGTGACTACGAAAGGGAACTCTTGTTACTTAAAAAAAAACACAAAAAAAATACTACAAAAAATCAAGAAAATTGTTAATATCAAGTATCCGTTGTACACTGTGGTAACTTATTTCTTGTACTTAATAATTAGGTTTTTCCAGTAACTGTTTAATTTTTGCAGCTGAACCCACCAAGCCAGCCCCATACCCACTTAACACTATGGATGTGATGACACCGTTCTGCTTCAGAGAGTGGGTGGAAAAGCAGAAGCCTGCCTTGGCCTATAGTCAGTCGGTTGATATGTTTGGAGCAAAGTTTGAGACTGAGGTGAGGAGAAGGCGGCTAGCTAAACCAATCAGTCCTACTTCCTGCATCAGATGAGATCATAATCATTAATCAGAGGTCTGACTATGAGCAATTTCTGGTAACACTTTACAATACGGGTGCACTAATAAGCATTCATTCATGCTTAACAAATGCACAGATAATACTGAATTAATGTGTAACTAATGATTATCTAAGCTATTCATTAATGATTACCACATTAGGAACTAATTAAGAGTCTGTATGGTTAATGTATTAGTTCATACATGAACTGTTATTAATTAAATATGTAATTGTGAATTAATTCCCTAATAACTATTTTTTTTAACTAATAGTGTTAATTAATATGTTAATTACCAGAATGAGCCAAAGCCTTGTATTTCAACTTCCAGATAATACAGGTACACTAATATGCATTAATACATGATTAATTACTTCATTGTTAGTGCAAATTCATGTGTAAATTACTACAATTACGAAATGACTAGTTAATAATGATGTGTCTCAACAAGTAAAGTCATAACATAATGATACCTTTGCAAATCATTAGCTAATGATTAATTAAAGCAGACAACTGGAAGTTGAAGTGCATAGCTTTGACTAATTGTGGTAATTAACACATTAATTTACACTATTAGTTAATAAAATATGTTATTAAGGAATTAATACACAATGACACATTGAATTAATAGCAATTCATGTATTACTTAATCTATTAATCATATGGACTCTTTATTAGTTGCTGATGCAGTAATCATTAATAAATGGTTTAGTTCTTCATGAATCATACATTAACTCATGATTATCTATGCATTAGTTAAACATGAATTAATGCATATTAGTGCACCCGTATTGTAAAGTGTTACCCAATTTCTCATCAGAAAGGTATCGACATAAGCATAAGGTAGACAGAGAGAGGGAGACAAAACTGACTCAAACACTACAAGAACAGGAAATATAACGTACAACTTGAACCTCAGTTCTTTCTTACTAGTTCCACACATTTGTGTCCTGTCCAGTTCTGTCTAACACATGCCAACAGTACCTGTTGGACATGCAAGGTATTAATTTACAGATCATAAGTTTACATAATCCTTGCAGAATCTGCAAAATGATAGTTATTGCAAGAAATAAGCATGTTGTTCCATGTTGCATGTTGTTTTTTATTAATATTCCAGGTTTTGACTATCAAAAAAGTATTTATTCAAGTCAAGCCTGTTTCATAGATAGATAGATAGACAGATAAATAGATATTGTTATAAAGAAGTAGCACAATAAACAATACATTTTTAGCCATGAGCTAATTTTTTACAGGATTTATTAGGTTACTGTTAATTTATAAATTTTGTTCATTGCTATTTTGTGTTCATTTTAATACATTAACTAATGTTTTAACTAATCTTAAAAATGTATAAAATATGAAAAATTTATAAACTAACATTAAAGGGATACTCCACTTTTTTTTGGAAATAGGCTCATTTTACAACTCCCCCAGAGTTAAACTGTTGAGTTTTACCGTTTTTGAATCCATTCAGCCGATCTCCGGTTCTGGCGGTACCACTTTTAGCATAGCTTAGCATACATCATTGAAGTGGACAAGACCATTAGCATTTCTAAAAAAAAAATGACCAAAGAGTTTTACATCGTGCACTAAGACCGACGGAAAATGTAAAGTTGCGATTTTCTCGGCTGATATGGCTAGGAACCAGGGCTTGACATTAACACCCGCCAACCCGCCAAATGCGGGTGGATTTCACTCGTGGCGGGTAACACAGTCGCTCCCACTAGCCACTTTGGCGTGTTGAAAAATTGTAGTCTTGTCAAAAGACATCTGACATAACAAACAAATTGCAATTTGACACTACGACACTACAACTCCCATGAGTACTACCTGCACATAGTCTAGTGTTTGCCCATTGGTCCATTCGTGAATCCTCTTGAATGACAACACTGTAAACAAGAAGACACGCGGAGATTAAACTCGCGGACTGGCCGTCGGACTGAGGGCTGTTTTAGTCTGCCCTTAATTATCAACTTAATGTGATGATATAGCGAACTTTTTTAATAGCAGGAGAATCCAGACCACAGACGCGTCTCACGCTCTCCTGCAGTGCCGCTGCGCGAGGGTGCGCGCGCCAAATATGACATCCAGACTTTTGTCAAACGATCATCACACGCGACTGGTCGCATGCACACACACATCAACACAGCGTTCAGTCAGTTCGTGAGTGAGCGTGGCCGATATAAAGAAAAAATAATCTTCATGATTAAGGGACACGGTGTAACTACTAGCAGGGCTGCCCTTATGTCACGTCACAACTATCTTTCCAGAGTTAATTCTATGTTTTAATAAAATTAATCATGCCATGAAAGAAAGCAGGAGATGCGTTTGTGGGAATAATCTGAAAAATAAAGACCTGTAGGCCTATACTTGTTTCAGGTGGACATATCTCCAGTTCCTCAGAGCTACCAGAGCTTCATGATGATAATTATTAAGTCAGAGCTCTGAGGAAATGCTGATGCAAAACAAACAATCCAAAGTCCCCAAAACTGTCATATAGGCCTATATAAAGTTGTAATCCTGTTGCCTTAATTGTGGATTTTTTCTTAGAAGAAATTATTTATTCTTTGCTTGTTGTTTCTAATGCAGATAATTGTTCTACTCTGTATTCCAGTATTTACTGCTGTAAAAAAAAAAAAAAAAAACGATGCAGCACTTATATTATATAATAAGAAGCTATTTTATGTGTTTATCTTAATAGACAACATGTTTTCAAAAAAGGAGCTCTACAACCTTATCAGAGCTAATGATAATATTAGGACATTTTAGCACGTTTTAAGCCCCATTGTCAACTTTAATCATATAAAACGTAATTTTCCAACAACAAAAATGTGGCTAGTAAAAATGCTGCGTGGCTTGTAATTTTGGAAAACCACTAGCCACATTGGCTAGTGAGCAAAAAAGTTAATGTCAAGCCCTCCTAGGAACTATACTCTCATTCCTGCGTAATAATCAAGAAACTTCACTGCCGTACCATGAGAGCAGCAGGCGTAATGATATGACGCAGCGCCTGAAAATAGTTCCGTTGTGTTGACGGAAGGTGGCCTATTTTCAGGCGCTGCGTCATATCATTACGCCTGCTGCTCTCATGGTACGGCAGTGAAGTTTCTTGATTATTACGCAGGAATGAGAGTATAGTTCCTAGCCATATCAGCCTAGAAAATCGCAACTTTACATTTTCCGTCGGTCTTAGTTCACGATGTAACTACAGAAGAGTCAAGTTTTAAATAGGAAAAATATCGAAACTCTTTGGTCATTTTTTTTTTAGAAATGCTAATGGTCTTGTCGACTCCAATGATGTATGCTAAGCTATGCTAAAAGTGGTACCGCCAGAACCGGAGTTTGGCTGAATGGATTCAAAAACGGTAAAACTGAACAGTTTAACTCTGGGGGAGTTGTAAAATGAGCCTATTTCCAAAAAAAGTGGAGTATCCCTTTAACAAAGAATAAAAAATGCTAGTTTATGATACTTAATTCGTTACCTAATGTTACCAATTGAACCTTATTGTGCTAACCTAATGTGTGAACGTCCTGGTTGAGTATGCAACCCACCGTTCCCTGAAGGAGGGAACGGAGGATGTAGTCGACGTCGACTGAATGGGATCACGCCAGGGAGCCAGTCATCTTCGAGTACTATTGAACGAGCCAATCGAATTTGGCGTGCGTGACTTGGAGAATACACATGTGGACTGGGCGGATGACCGGGCAGTGAAGACACGGGCTCGCCGGAGGGAGCCGTACCGTGGAAGAATACGAATATGGGATCGCCGTAGGGATCACAACACATGGACCGAGGGAAGACACGGGCTCGCCGGAGGGAGCCATACCGTGGAAGAATACGCATATGGGATCGCCGTAGGGATCACAACACATGGACCCAGCCTAACATAGGTTCCACCAGTGCATACGAGTGATAGCCTGGCTTCGGACGTTCTGCCACGTCCATTGCCGAAGGGTACGGAGGACCTCGACAGGGTTCAGCTAATAAGGGGATCTCAACTGGAGCAAGAATTGCGCACGTATCCATTGTTGCGGGGGAACAAATGTAACTGTGCGGCCCTGAAGTGGTCCCAAACAGCTAGACCGCCTGGGGACGGAGTCTCCACTCTCCCTGGCCCACAGGCTGTCTTGAGGCTCGTCAACGGCACGATTGAGCAGGCCAGAAGTAATAAGTGTAATGAAGCTTCTGACTCCGAGGAGGAGGTGGCAGGCGAGTTGTGACATGCGAGGGAAGCGTAGCGCAACGCAACGGTCGCAATGTTGTCTTTTCAGACCAGTACAAATTCGCTGAGTAGCGGTGTCCCAAAGCGAGATGAACTGCAAGCAGCTCAAGGCAATGGATGCAAATGCAGTCAGAGGGCCGCCCAGATCTCCGTTACAGCATGCCCATTGTACGTGGCCCCTCAGCCACGTATGGCTGCTCTGTCAAGTCTTCGTCGTCGGTTAGGAACCTGGGTGTGCTCAAACAAAAATCTGAAAATTCGTCCATATTATTTATTTTGCGCAGCATTTGGTGTGTAGCAGTTCAAATTAAAATTTTGGTGTTCAACTTTGCGTTTTAAAAATACAACCGTTTATTTTTCGTTTTGCAATTACGGGTTTAATAAGGAAAAACGAATGGACACAAAAGTACACTGACCGTTTGGACATAATACGAGACAGAGTTCTTTATTAAATTCATAAAAGAAACAATAATTACAGGAATACTGGATTCTAAACCTCAAAGAAATGCCACAATCAAGACCTCGGAGCAGAAATGAGGGAGAAACAGCCCTGGAACTCCTGGCTATATGTGCCGTTCGCAGTATAAGGGTCTGCCATTAATGCTTGGATAACACACCACGTCTCCTTCCATTAATAATAATAATGTCTAGTGCGGTGGCTGTGATATAGCCTAGGCTATAAACCTACCAACATCCGTTTACCATGATTTTTGGAATGACTTATCGCGAGTGGAAAAAAATACATTTTAGTCGCATAACATCGGTTAATGGAAACGCCGTCATTTCGCAATAGTTTTTTATCGACATTTAGAAAAAGTCGCAAAAGTTTTGCGCAAATCTGTAATGGAAACGCGCCTTATGTTCGCAACTCTCATATTTAACGGCTCTGATTCGCGCTTAGTAGATACCGCCAAGGCAATTTCAATTGGTGGCTCGTTTGACTAGTTACGTTTTTATCCACTCATAAATAAAAAGGAACGACTGATTTTGAAAATGAGTAAAAAGTAAGATATTTGACTTTGAAATGTAGTGGAGTTAAAGTAAAAGTCTCCCAAAATGTAAATACTTGAGTAAAGTACAGATACGCAAAAAAGCTACTTAAGTACAGTAACGAATTACATTTACTTCGTTACTGTCCACCACTGGTGCTCTCTGATACCAACCTTTCATTTTAAAGTCACGTGTCTAGCATCTGTAAAACCCCATTTTTTCATCTTAAAAATATATGTAAATTGCGTCATATTAGATTAGATTAGATTAGATTAGATAGCACTTTATTGTCCGTGTACACAGAAATTGATCTTGCAATACAAGCTCCAACAATTACAACACGCTAAAAAAAGCTAAAACCATAAAGTCATTAATACATAAAAACATAAATAGATACTTAATTAATATAATGGGAGCTCCGCCCTGCAAGAGTGTTCTTCGATACCCGTAATTAGATGAAAGTGAAAGCGATATGCTCTCAATGAAAAATGCAGAACAATTAGTTAATGCGTTCATGACATCAAGGCTAGATTATTGTAATGCTATTATGGGTGGTTGTCCTGCACTATCAATATACAAACTACAGCTGGTCCAAAATGCAGCAGCTTAAATTCTTACCAGAAACAGGAAGTATGACCATATTAGCCCGGTTCTGTCAACACTGCATTGGCTCCCTATTAAACATCGTATACATTTTAAAATATTGCTAATCACTTACAAAGCACTAAATGGTTTAACACATTATAGTCCTTCACGTCTATTGCGATCTCAAAATTCCGGCCAGTTGGTAATACCTAGAATATCAAAATCGACTGCTGGCGGTAGATCCTTTTCCTACTTAGCACCAAAACTTTGGAACAATCTTCCTAACATTGACCGGGAAGCAGACACACTCTGTCAGTTCAAATGTACCTGCACCTGGACCCATCCATGACGCATCCCTGAAATGCCAGCCTCTGTGAAGGCCTCATCGACACGACAGCCATCGGCACTGATCCTCAACAAACTCATCTCCATACCGACGTGATGACTCCGACTTCCAACCAGATGGAACTGGATTAATATTCTGAATGTTCTGATCCAATCTGACTTCTGGCCTGTAATGCTGCCTGGATCATAATCATACTGGCCCCCGACTGAGCCTGGGTTCTCCCAAGGTTTTTTTCTCCATTCTGTCACCTGATGGAGTTTTGTTTCCTTGCCACTGTTGCCTTGGCTTTTGGCTTGCTTAGTTGGGGACATTTAATATTCAACTATATTATTGATCTGCCTTACTTCAGGTGGACGATGACGCAATTTTCTTCTAGAAACAAACTTTGTTGTATTATTTTCATGTTATCACTGTGAAGCTGCTTTGATACAATCTGTATTGTAAAAAGCGCTATATAAATAAAGGTGACTTGACTTGACTTAGCCGGTATTGATGGACACTCGTTCTAGGGACCGTTGCCCCGGAGAAACAAAAGGTCTGTTGCGGACTGAGGGTTTGGCGGCAGGCCAGGGTGCTTTTACACGGAGCATGTCACTCTGCCACGGCCACCTCGGGACTCGGCCGTGAATTCAGTGCTGAAGCGGTTCTCATATGGAGGAAGCCGAGCGGCTGCGTCTACCGTATGCCCCAGGAGCCTCTGAAGAGTTTCAGTGGGACCCTTTCTCACTTCTATACAGCACTAACCATCCACACCCTCTTTTTCAGAGATGCGGTGGACCGAATCCATCTCCAAACTAGAAATAGATCCTCAGTCCGTGGACGAGTTTACTCTTCCCCAGTTGACCTGAGGACGCAACTGGCTTTGAGCACTTGAAGGGTAGGACTTGGTACTGATACTTCACACCTTTCAAACGCACGAACACAGGATGTGGTGAGGTGTGGAAGGATAGAGATCTGAAGTACATGTCTATCAGGTCGAACGCTATTTTGAAATGCATCTCTGTGTAACAAATTGAACGGAGCCTTTTGAAAAAGGGCCCGTCTCAATAAACACAGGACCAAGATGGTCGTGACCCACCTCTCTAGGATACAATGAAGTACGGGCTTATAGAAGCCGACCTTCATATCGGCTGGAGGGAGCAGCTGCATCGTGTCCTTCGCCAGCAGACTGCGATGTGCGCACACAAGACAGGAGCACTGCTCAACACTTAGGTGTGACTAAAGTCACTATTTTTAGGAGCATATTTGCTCAACACCTAGGTGTGATGAATATCACTGAGCTTGGGCGGAAGCCGAGCGAAAAGGAATCGCAAGCCGAGTCTGATGGTATAGCTTGGGGCCATCTGGACCAGTTGGGAAGCATTTTTGGCTTCTACGAACCGGGCTAGGGGCCAGGGAACCACAGACGTACCTGAGGTGGGGAAGAGAGGTGGAGTACAGGGACCCGGCTCGGAAGGCCCGGAGGCGGCCCACAGCAGGGTTTGAGTGTGGTGCACAACACTTACCTGTCTTCACAAGACGGCCAGGGATACTTGAGAAGGCGGATGACCGGGTCCTCAAACCGCACCCAGCTGCCGGGCGTCCCTGGCTGAAGGCTGCTGCGGAGGCCCAGCAGGAGCGGCGGCAGGGGAACGCCCTCGGCGACGGGCAGGTGGAGGAACTGTCACCGGCAGCGTGCTCACCTATGAGCGCACGGTCTGGGCTACCCTCATGCATGTCCATGAGTGCCTTGGCCTGATAGACCTGTAGCAGCGCCATGGCACGCAAAGGGGAGGCGGCTTGTCCACAAGCTTTGTAAGCTCTGCCCGTCGAAATGGACGAGAACTCACAGGCCTTAGGGGGGAGACGAGGATCCCCCCAAAAGGGCAGCGACCGTCGGACACAGGTGCACCTGTGTCGCGACAGACCGCTCCACTGGAGGGATAGCCTCGCAACCCTTCACCACTCCTCCATCAAGAGTAGTGAGGGGGTAAAAGCTATTCAAGCTGTTTCTGGCAGAGAAAGGTGCCGTCCACAACCTGGTAATCTCTCCATGCACTTCAGGAACGAAAGGCAGTGGGGCGGCGAGCTGAGAACCAGTGCGGCCCGCCCTGAGATACCAATCCTCCAACCGAGACTGAGCGGGACACGGTGGAGGATTCCACTCGAACCCGGCAACCTCGGCGGCCCGTTTTCAGCATAGCTGACATTTCTGGATCTGGCTTGGGCAACGTTACACTCCCAGAGGAAGATAACACAGCCGAGTCGTCATCTCCAGAGGCCAGCTCACCCTCCGATGCTGCTATCAACATCTTATCCTCTGGGGAAACCCCAATTGAAACGGCTGATTTATTGTTTATTGTTACTGATTTATGAAACACTATAGACTTGAGGTCTTCGTCTTCAGAGATTCACAGAGACCATTTTCAAAAACTTGCACAAGTGTAATTGTACTTTTTAGGCACCAAAAACGCTGTTGTCATGTAAATGAACAGCCAAAACGCAACATTTTTTACGTTTTAAGTTGAAAAAGGTGTCGTGTAAACAGCCCCATAGTTAGTTCTTGGTTCCGGTATTAGTCTAGGTTAAATGCTGTATAGTCTGTTTGATGCGGGTCTGTCTGGGTATTCCTGAGTTTGTTGGTTTTGAATTTAAAATAAAAGGTTTTCCTCGATTCTACACTCCTTCATCGAGAGAGTCTTTAAAATGCAACGTGAAAATAGCAATAAAAAGGTTTGGTCAAGAATCAAGCTATGGCAGTAATGCATATGCTGACTTAGATTTTCTCTCTGTTAGACACTACTCTTTGGTCCTGGGATATCTGAACCCTCTAGAAGACGAACTGATGGCTGGATTTGGCAGCTGGTAACATCTATTCTTTATATTGTTACAGAATTTCTTCATTACATTTTTTGTTTAATCTTTATGTTCCCTCTGTTTTATATTTATTTTACACTCTAAACAATGCCGGGTTGTTTCAACCCAAATTTGGGTCAAATATGGACAAACCCAAATGTTGGGTTAAAAATGTAATTTAAAATTTTAACCCAACTTTCACTTTCAACTGTAAATTTTTTAATTACATTTTTAACCCAACATTTGGGTTTGTCCATATTTGACCCAAATTTGGGTTGAAACAACCTGGCATTTTTTAGAGTGTAGCTTTATACTCTCCTTCTCTTTTTCTACTTTTGATTTTGTTTTATTTAGGAGGGGTCCTCCAATGTCTTCATGAATGGCAAGGAGTACATCCTGTCTGCAGGGGATTGTCTTCTTATTTTTGGAGAGACAGAGTAAGTGTGATGAGCATTTGTGTTACTAGTGTGTTAAAGAGGTCATGAAATGCAGTTCCAGATTTTGCACCAAAAGCAGTCCATCCATCCATCCATCCATCTTCTTCCGCTTATCCGGGGCCGGGTCGCGGGGGCAGCAGTCTAAGCAGAGATGCCCAGACTTCCCTCTCCCTGGACACTTCCTCCAGCTCTTCCGGGGGGACACCGAGGCGTTCCCAGGCCAGCCGGGAGACATAGTCTCTCCAGCGTGTCCTAGGTCTTCCCCGGGGTCTCCTCCCAGTGGGACGTGCCCGGAACACCTCCCCGGGAAGGCGTCCAGGAGGCATCCGAAACAGATGCCCGAGCCACCTCAGCTGACCCCTCTCGATGTGGAGGAGCAGCGGCTCTACTCTGAGCTCCTCCCGAGTGACCGAGCTTCTCACCCTATCTCTATAGGATCGCCCAGCCACCCTGCGGAGAAAGCTCATTTCGGCCGCCTGTATCCGGGATCTTGTCCTTTCGGTCATGATCCAAAGCTCATGACCATAGGTGAGAGTAGGAAGGTAGATTGACCGGTAAATCGAGAGCTTTGCCTTACGGCTCAGCTCTTTCTTCACCACAACAGACCGGTACATCGACCGCATTACTGCAGAAGCTGCACCGATCCGTCTGTCAATCTCCCGTTCCATCCTTCCCTCACTCGTGAACAAAACCCCAAGATACTTAAACTCCTCCACTTGAGGAAGGATCTCTCCACCAACCTGAAGTGAGCAAGCCGCCCTTTTCCGACTGAGGACCATGGCCTCGGATTTGGAGGCGCTGATTCTCATCCCAGCCGCTTCACACTCGGCTGCAAACCGTCCCAGTGCACGCTGAAGGTCCTGGTGTGAGGGGGCCAACACGACAACATCATCCGCAAAGAGCAGAGACGAAATCGCGTGGTCCCCCAACCTGACACCCTCCGGCCCCTGGCTGCGCCTAGAAATTCTGTCCATAAAAATTATGAACAGAACCGGCGACAAAGGGCAGCCCTGCCGGAGTCCAACATGCACCGGGAAGAAGTCTGACTTACTACCGGCAATGCGAACCAAGCTCCTGCTTCGGTCATACAGGGACCGGACAGCCCTTAGCAAAGGACCCGGGACCCCATACTCCCGGAGCACCCTCCACAGGCCGCCTCAGGGGACACAGTCGAATGCCTTCTCCAAATCCACAAAGCACATGTGGACTGGTTGGGCAAAAGCAGTCCATTATTTGTAAAAGAATATATCATTTTCCATCCTTATTTACACTCTCTGGGAAAGGGGCGTTGTCTCAGCAGAAACGGAAGTAAATGCCCACTGCTGTGATTGCATCTATCCATGCCAAAAGACCATAGAACCCATTATAATCTGTGATGCTGTCAACACTGGATGCACTCAACAGTAAACTGATGCCTCGTTCTATTTCTGACGTACTCCAAGCTGACAGAACAACGACTGAGTTTGATGGTCTTACTTCAAAGTTGACATAATGATAAATAAATACATCAATAAATGTATGAAGAAATGTAAAAAAAACTAAAATACATAAATATATACATAAAAAATATACAAAGACATGGATAAAGAAATAAATTAGTATTTAAACTTATTTCCTTATTTATGTATAATTGTATTTATTTTTTTTCATTTATTTATTTACACTTTTATTTATTTCCACATTTATTTATGTATATTTGCATTTGTCTACATTTTTTTATTTATACATTTCTTTGTCCACATGGTAATGAGTGGGACGTGTTTTACCTCAGACATAGCAATTAAGCTCAGAGTGGCAGTGCTGAAGCTTTGAGGCCACAGTGACACATTCTGTTGTGACCAAACTAAACGCAAGCCTTTGCAAGTCACACAGGGAATGAATGACTTCAAGATGGGCAATATGGCCAAAATATTATATCACGGTTTAAGTCATTTAATATCACCCTAACTGTATGTATATTGGGTGACCATACATACTCTTTATCCTGGACATGGCCATAAAACATCGTTCGGTCGGGATTTCTAAAATGTCTTGGCACACATGAACAGAAACCACATCTTGAATAGATCTGATAACAGATCATTTGACATGGATGTGCCTGAAATGATCCACTCACTATTAATCCCATTTAATGTAAATGCGCTGGATGAAACTGATAAGAGCTTGCGTTTATTGTCGATGAGGCTTGCACACCAGCTCAGAACGCGGAAAGGAACCAGCGCACTTTACAATGAAATCTAAAATAAGTCTGTGTAAATAGGCTATACCTCATCTTTATGCCACTTCAGAGTCAGCTTCTGTACGTCCCCCAACTGCTTTTGTTGATACTGATTTTATTTTATGGGTAACAGTCCTATAGTGCCTTATTATTCTAATTGAATTTATTGATTAAGACAAGGCAAGTTTTTACACAATGAAATAATAATATAAGAAATAAAATAAGAATGAAATAAGAAATAAAAATAGCAATCTTAAGAATTTGACACATGATGACGCATATATTTAAAAAAAATGCCCCTGGAAATCAATTTAAGGGGGGAAATATCATCCCTTAATGGAAAAGTTTGTTTCTGTCGCTGTCAATGTTGTTTTTGGAAGTTACCTTAAAAATGCAGTTGGCTCAAAAATCTGAGGGGGCACAACAGGTACTGTTTGAATGGGCATGATGCTAGTGCAATGTATGGCGTGAGATGCGCGTTTCACTAACGGTACATGAACACCTTTTGTTTGGTTTTATCCTGAATAATTTCAATTGATGTTGTACAATCGGTGTTAATTAATCAGTATCTTAAGAGCAGCATCTTTAAAATGTGTTATATTTTCAAGCATTTGAACTGTCACATGTTGTGCATGCAAAATTAGGAAACGCAAATGTAAACTGAATTTGCAATCGTGTTTAAACCATAGACAGTAAAATAAATGGACACAGCGACCCCATAGACTTCAAAGGAGAAAAGTGAAGTAAATTGGAAGCACTCACTTCCTGATGGCTGAGCGTACTGTAGAGCCTCAAACTGAGCTTGACGATGTAGATGTGACGTGAGTAACCTGTCTGACAGTTGTAAGTCTTCTAGTAGCTGTGCCAAGAGAAATCTGAATCATTCCCTTCCGAATCTTGCAGAGATGGAGAGCTTGAGTAGGAGCTGTCCATGAGCTAGCAGCAGGATCAACTTTATGACTCTCTATGGGCTTCTCCCTTGACTTTATCAGACTTTATGCCTCCACGTCCCCCCGATTGCCTGCGAGCTTCTCCTCCTGTCTATACGGTAATTTTCTACTGTGCGTCAGAGAGTCGCGTCGTTATGACGCAATCGTTAGCCTATTTTTACAAAAACGGATTCTACGGGGCCATAACGTAAGATACAAGGTAATGGAGCCTTTTACACATTGTCGTGTTTCTTTAGAAATAAATAATGTACAAACGGAGTCTTTAAACGCATCAGATGTAAAGTTATTCGTTGTCAAAGTGACGCCAAAATGAATGGGAGTCAATGAAATGCTAACACCAAGTGATGGCTTGCTAACCAATGGCTGCCCCATGGGAGGTAGGCTTTCCGGGTGCTGGATTACCCCCTTGGTTTAAACGCATTGATCAATATGCTTGCATAGACTTATGTATAGTCTATGCAATGTACGCTGTTCCCCTTCGAGGGAACTCGAACTGCGTCATCGTTGTGACACTTTGGGGAACGCCCCCAGCGTAGCGCATCTGAAGCATGAATGAAATCTGTCCAATCCTGATTGGTGCTGCGTCATGACGTAGTAGATGACGGCATAACCGGAAGATACAAAGGTACGCTGGCAAATACAAACACTAGCTTTTTTGCTCTTCAGCAAGCGCTCTGTGTCAAACTGTCTGTCTTATTTGGTGTTGTTTGTCCCATAAGAATTGCAATATAGAATCTATAGTGGCTCGGATCTCGCGTTTGCCGAGGCAGCGCGTTGATTACGGGCTACTCTGCAATAACGATTCTGTGAATGGGATCTCGCGTTGTCGAGGCAGCGCGCAGATTAAAGGTCTGCATTGCAATACAGAATCTATAGTGGCTCGGATCTCGCGTTTGCCGAGGCAGCGCGTTGATTACGGGTCTACTCTGCAAATAAGATTCTGTGGCTTGATCTCGCGTTGTCGAGGCAGCGCGCAGATTAAAGGTCTGCATTGCAATACAGAATCTATAGTGGCTCGGATCTCGCGTTTGCCGAGGCAGCGCGTTGATTACGGGTCTACTCTGCAATAAAGATTCTGTGACCTGATCTCGCGTTGTCGAGGCAGCGCGTAGATTAAAGGTCGTACATTGCAATACAGAATCTAGTGGCTCGGATCTCGCGTTTGCCGAGGCAGCGCATAGATTACGGGTCTACTTTGCATTAAAGATTCTGTGTGTGTGCGAGGCATGAACAGTCAGCTCCTGAGGGTGCTGGCTGTGTTCATTGAGAAATATCTCGACGCGCACAGCCGTGCGTTTTCGGGTGTTTCAGCCTCGCGGCCGTTGATTTTCTTCTCGAGAGATGAAAACCAAATATATTGTGAACGACTCGAATCTCGCGTTTGCCGAGGCAGCGCGTAGAATACGGGTCTGCAATGAAGGGTACACACGCGATCTGTGAAATAATACTGTTTGGGTGCGAGGCATTCACAGTCAGCTCCTGAGGGTGCTGGCAGCTGTTCATTGAGAAATATCTCGACGCGTATATCTGTGCGCTGTCGGCTGTTTCAGCCTCGCACCTATTGACTTTCTTCTTGAGGGATGAAAGCCAAATATATTGTAATGACTCGAATCTCGCGTTTGCCGAGGCAGCGTGTATGAGATCATATAACACAAAACAGTATTCTCTGGTAATTATGGCTGCATTTAATTTTAAGAAATTAAAATGATGAAATATTATCTGACTTTAAGGAAGTTAGATATTTTAATTCAGCCTACCACTCAGACCGTGTTTCACATGCAGTGTTCCTTCTGCACATCAAAAATCGTTTTTCGATTTTTCCCTGCCGGTCC